AACCTAGCAGTTCAAAAGCACGTCAAAGTGCAAGTAGATAAATAGGTACCATTCCGGCGGGAAGGTAAATGGCGTTTCCGTGCGCTGCTCTGGTTCGCCAGAAGCGGCTTAGTCATGCTGGCCACATGACCACATGTATGCCGGCTCCCTCGGCCAATAAAGCAAGATGAGCGTCGTAACCCCAGAGTTGGTCACGACTGGACCTAATGGTCTGGGTTCCCTTCACCTTTAAGCAAAATCTTAAGCAAAAATGTTATTAGAGCAAGATGTTCTTAGCAGCAGTGTTAGTAGAGGTTTGCAGGTTTTTAGATACAGTCATATTTCAGGTTACGAACGCTGTGGGTTGCGCATTTTCAGGTTATGGACCGCACTGAACCCAGAAGTACTAGAACGGGTTACTTCCAAGTTTCGGTGCTCGCGCATGTGCAGAAATGCTAAATTGCGCTTTGTGCATGCGCAGAAGTGCTGAATCGCATCACGCGCGTGCGCCGACGCGGCGCTGCGGGTTGCGAACGCTGCGAGTTGCAAATGTGCCTCCCGCACAGATCACGTTCGCAACCTGGGTCCCACTGTATTTCTGTAGTCCTTCATATGGAAAAATTGTGCCTCCCCCGTCCTCAGTTTCTTTCTTTTCTGGGTGATACTAATCTTTTCTTTATATAAATGAAATGTTAACTAATCATCACTTTTTCTGGTTGACCTTATGTTGTGGTGTTTTTCTCCATTTCCAACCATTCAAATGGTTGAATGCATTTCAGTATTTCATTTTGAGTTTAGCATTGAGTAATTTCATCCTGAAGGGGTAATTTTAACTTGTTAAGACTTGAAACTGAAAGGTAGGACTTAGGCTTGGCTTCCAACATCAGTGCAAAACCATCCTTTGTACCCTAATCATAGTGCTGGAAATAATAAGCAAATGATTCAGCAGAGAAAACACAGCCCAGGATAACTAAGGAGATAGTACAAGAATACTTGGCTAGTTTAGATGTATTCAAGTCTCCAGGGCCAGATGAACTGCAACCAAGAGTATTAAAAGAACTGGCAGATGTGATCTCAGAACCACTGGCAGTCATCTTTGAGAATTCCTGGAGAACAGGCGAAGTCCCGGCAGACTGGAGGAGGGCAAATGTTGTCCCTATTTTCAAAAAGGGGAAAAGAGAGGACCTAAATAATTATCGCCCAGTCAGTCTGACATCAATACCAGGGAAGATTCTGGAGCAGATCATTAAGCAAACAGTCTGTGAGCACCTAGAAAGGAATGCTGTGATCACCAATAGTCAGCATGGATTTCTGAAAAATAAGTCATGTCAGACTAACCTGATCTCGTTTTTTGACAGAATTACAAGCCTGGTAGATGAAGGGAACGCAGTGGATGTAGCCTACCTTGATTTCAGCAAGGCATTTGACAAGGTGCCCCATGATATTCTTGTAAAGAAGCTGGTAAAATGCGGTCTTGACTATGCTACCACTCAGTGGATTTGTAACTGGCTGACTGACCGAACCCAAAGGGTGCTCATCAATGGTTCCTCTTCATTCTGGAGAAGAGTGACTAGTGGGGTGCCACAGGGTTCTGTCTTGGGCCCGGTCTTATTCAACATCTTTATCAACAACTTGGATGATGGACTCAAGGGCATCCTGATCAAATTTGCAGATGACACCAAACTGGGAGGGGTGGCTAACACCCCAGAGGACAGGATCACACTTCAAAACGACCTTGACAGATTAGAGAACTGGGCCAAAACAAACAAGATGAACTTTAACAGGGAGAAATGTAAAGTATTGCACTTGGGCAAAAAAAATGAGAGGCACAAATACAAGATGGGGGACACCTCGCTTGAGAGCAGTACATGTGAAAAGGATTTAGGAGTCTTGGTTGACCACAAACTTGACATGAGCCAACAGTGTGACGCGGCAGCTAAAAAAGCCAATGCAATTCTGGGCTGCATCAATAGGAGTATAGCATCTAGATCAAGGGAAGTAATAGTGCCACTGTATTCTGCTCTGGTCAGACCTCACCTGGAGTACTGTGTCCAGTTCTGGGCACCACAGTTCAAGAAGGACACTGACAAACTGGAACGTGTCCAGAGGAGGGCAACCAAAATAGTCAAAGGCCTGGAAACGATGCCTTATGAGGAACGGCTAAGGGAGCTGGGCATGTTTAGCCTGGAGAAGAGGAGGTTAAGGGGTGATATGATAGCCATGTTCAAATATATAAAAGGATGTCATATAGAGGAGGGAGAAAGGTTGTTTTCTGCTGCTCCAGAGAAGCGGACACGGAGCAATGGATCCAAACTACAAGAAAGAAGATTCCACCTAAACATTAGGAAGAACTTCCTGACAGTAAGAGCTGTTCGACAGTGGAATTTGCTGCCAAGGAGTGTGGTGGAGTCTCCTTCTTTGGAGGTCTTTAAGCAGAGGCTTGACAACCATATGTCAGGAGTGCTCTGATGGTGTTTCCTGCTTGGCAGGGGGTTGGACTCGATGGCCCTTGTGGTCTCTTCCAACTCTATGATTCTATGATCTATCCTCCCGTATAGTAGCTTGTAGAAGTGAAGCATAACTTTTTAAAAAGAATAATGATAATTCATACAGAGAAATTTCAAGCAAACAGATTGGCAATTCTTAAATACTGTTGCTGGAAAAGAAAAGGAATGTAATGAAGAAAAAGGAACGTGCTTCAATAAGAAAGTATCAGCTGAAAAAGTTTGTGCTTAAAAATAAGTATAATGCTGGAAGACCTGTTGCCCTTGCAAGTCTGTTTGAAAGTTGTTACAGTATGCACTTGATCTAATAATGAATTTAATTATGCATACAAGAACTCCCTAGGTATCTTTTGAACTTCTTCACACTTTATATGAATTTTTAATTTAGCAGTCTCGGAAAATCACTTTTCATTCTATACTAAGGAAAACTGACAGAAATACTGTGAGAATCACATTTTTTTATGTCAAAAGATTGTCTCTATTATACATTAGGTTTTGGAAATCTTTTCTACAATGGGATAAACATTTTTGCGGGCAGAGGGTATATGTGAAGCAAAGGGTTCTGGTTTTTGCAGATGTGATTCAAAATTAAACTAAATTGAAAAAAAAATTAAACTAACTCTCAGTCGTATTTTCAGAGGGGTAACGTAGCTGTGTTAGCCTGTTGCAACATTTTCCATCAATTCATTGTGCAGCTTGTTTAAAAAACCTTAAGTGTCAGCAATTAACTTATTAAGGAGTTCTTCAGATAGTTGTATTGGTTTATATATAGCATAGCACTGCATCAGGGTTGCGTCTGCGCAAGAATTTCTGCTTGCAAAGTGGGACTTCCCCCTCTTCTTCCCCTATACACTCTCGGCATTATTTAGGGGTTCTCCCAACCCTCTGGAACAGATTTGAGAAGAGCGCGCACAGGGGCAGGACTGGAGGGATGGAAGTCCTGTTGTGCAAGTGGAAATCAGTTTGTGCTAGACAAGCTTCCCTCCATGAATTACATATGCAACTTGGGATTTGTTGGGCCTGAGTTTTGTGCTTTACCTTTTTTAAGAGAATTACTGTTGAATTTTGATGTGTATTCAGCATATTCAGTTACAAGTGGAAGAGCAAATGCTCCTCCTCAGAACAGAAATAATTACATTAAATTGATGCCGACTTCTTGGAATATTCTGAAGTGTCCCTTTCAAGAAGAGATCCTTCAACCCATAGCAACAAAGGAAGATTTTCTTTCTTTCTTTCTTTCCTTCCTGCCATCACTTGAATTCGTTCTTAAACCTTCCCACACTTGACGTCATCAAGACCCAATTATGATTGCTAAAAGCATTTCTTGGTCAGTAAGTGTTGCAGTAATTGTAATGTTAGTGCAGAATAGAGTACAGATATAATGATTCCTTCAACAATTCTTAGATGCTCTTTAGGAAAATTAGGATACAAACACACATTCTTTTGCTTGAATATAAATAATATATATAATGTCAGCCTGGATAGCTCAGTTGGTTAAAGCATAGTGCTGATAATGCCAGGGTTGCAGGTTCGATCCCTGTATGGGACAGCTGCATATTCCTGCATTGCAGGGGGTTGGACTAGATGATCCTCAGGGTCCCTTCCAACTCCAATTCTATGTTTCTAATAATTTAACCGGATTTCCCCTCCCCCCTGAAAAGTCTAATAGAATGTGTGTGTACTGATGTTCTTCATGCTTTATAAAACCTGGAGCAAGTAGAACCTGGACCACTATGGTGCAGTGCCTCAGTTCCAGATTCCAGCCAGCCATGCCCTTTTCTGGGATATTCCATACCATCCCCCTGTCCCCTGCAACAGACATTTGACATTCTGTGGCTACTGAGCATGCTCAGTCCTCATCGGCTTGGTTTCAGGTCCTCTCCCTTCCTTAGTATTCCCTGCCCACCACATTTTTTACCTACAAACATTGGGGATTTGCCCAAGCCTGCTGATAACTTCCCATTTTGGTTACATAAGGTTACGCACTCATGGAGTGATTTCACTGTTGGTATACAGCAGGTTTCTAAAAGTGGCACTCTACAGACCACTTGGAAAAGTGAGCGTAATCAACCACCTGCTAATCACCTGGCACCAGATAATTGAAACTTCAACTCATAGCAGTAAAGGAAGATTTTTTTCTTTCTTTCCTGCCATGACTTGAATTCTTTCTTGAACTTTCCCACACTTGACATCATAGGACATCAAGCATGGAAAAGTGTCCTTGGTTCACTCAAAACATCCTGGCTGGCCTAATGAAGCCTGCAAGCTGCAGGCTACCCATCACTGATTAATATGATATTATATCAGCAGATACAGTGGTGCTCTTTTTGGCTCTCCCTGCACATTTTCTTTTTTTGAGCAAGCTCTTTCCCCCCACTTAAGGGCAAATTAGTAGTGCATTTAGCCAATATGACCCTAGATATTGTATTATTTCACCTTATTTAGTCTTGTTTTTTACCTGCAAGTCCAACCTGGTTACTTCATTCTATTAAGGCAGCTATGTTTTCTTTCTTGCAGGCCAGCCCTCCAGACATCTACATCGAAAGGTTTAACATAGCACTTGGACAGTATATGGGAGCATTACAGAGCATTGTGCCTCTTTTCATATATATGGTAAGTTTTTAGAATATTTTTTTTCAAATTGTGCATAGTCTGGAAGCAAGGAACTGATTAGGTGCGAGGTATAGCAGTGGTCAGCAATTAGATTCTCCTGAAGACTTACATTGGGAGTTAAGTGGGATGATCACCTGCTAGAACCACAGATTTCCTCTCTCTGCTCATAGAATAGAATCATAGAATTGTAGAGTTGGAAGGGACCACGAGGATCATCTAGTTCAACCCTCTGCAATGCAGGAATCTTTCACTCAAAGTGGGGCTCGAACCCACAAACCTGAGATTCAGAGTCTCATGCTCTACCAACTGAGCTATCCCTCATGGGCTGGCTCACTTGGACTTATTCCACCAGTTTAATTAAAGCCCAGGCCGTAACAGAACCTCGCCTAGTGTGCCGAGGTACTTCTGTGCTGCACTCTTTTATCCCCCAGCGGCACCTTCTGAAATTAACCACCCAGTTAGGAACAGAACCATCATAACACGGTGCATTCTGTTCTCAACCCAAACAGCCTGTCCAGAAGCATGCCATGGCTGATGGTATTGAAACCCAGCAGCATTGGTCAATCTGCAATGCAACCATGAGGTTTGGCTCTTACAAGCTGCCCGTACCTGTTTTTTGCCCGTTTCCCCCTTGGCTGCTTGGGAGGCTTTATAAGGGACTGCAGAAAGGTGCAGCAAAGAGGGCATGCTTGCATAACTCAGGTTACAGTTAACTTAATCTCATCTAAAAGTGCCTGGAGTTGCATGGCAACCACTCGGGTTGAGTATGGTTGTACTGCATCAAGCATTGCTCATGAGTGTTCTAAAATTGGTATAAGCACTCATTTGGAAGAATCAGTTTTGCCATTAGCTTGGTGTGTTAAGCTTAAGAGTCTATGTACATTTATTTTTTTGCAGATGGGTTACCAGGCTTTCATATTTATAGACATTTTGTATCTTGCATAATCTTTCCTGGATCAGTAAGGTTTGCTTCTTGTGGTTTTTTTTTTACATATTCAGACTATTTAATTCAAAACATGCACTTACATTGCATATGTTAATGTGATTTACATGAGGAAGGGGTATTAGATGGGTTCTGCTCTAAAATGTCTTGCAGCTAAAACATTGCAAACCGATTTGAGAAATTTGATAACTATGCATATCAAGAGAGTTCTGATCTCCTTTGCTGGTCCCATGCCGAGAAGCCGAAGTTGTAATGCTTATTATTGCAAGACCACTTCATTCATTTATTGAATTTTGGCCCTAGCTGTGTTTTTAATGTACCAAAATAAGCTTGTAATTAAAAACAACCCTCTGTCAACACACCATCTCAAAAATAGGATTTGTTTATGCACAGTTATGATTTGGGTTTTGTCAAAACTCTCTTACCCACGTAGAGCCAACTGTTACTAGATCTCAGATTTTAAAAAGAAGTGTATTGGCAGGTCACAGATAAGATTTACAAATATGTGCCATAATTTTATTGCTTAGTACCGTATTTTTCGCCCTATAGGACGCACTTTCCCCCCTCCAAAAATGAAGGGGAAATGTGTGTGCGTCCTATGGGGCGAATGCAGGCTTTCGCTGAAGCCTGGAGAGCGAGAGGGGTCGGTGCGCACCGACCCCTCTCGCTCTCCAGGCTTCAGGAAGCTCTGCGCAACCCTCGGGAGACCGGCTCCGAGGGTTGCGCAGAGCTGCCTGCAGTCCCGGGTTCAGCGCAGCTCTGCGCGGCCACCGGGAGCCGGGCGCGAATTCCAGCCCCGCTCCCAATGGCTGCGCAGAGCTGCCTGCAGTCCCGGGCTCAGCGCAGCTCTGCGCGGCCATCGGGAGCGGGGCACGAAGTCCCGCCCCGCTCCTGATGGCCGCGTTGAGCTGCCTGCAGTCCCGGGCTCAGCGCAGCTCTGCGTGGCCATCGGGAGCCGGGCGCGAAGTCCCGCCCCGCTCCCGATGGCCACGCAGAGCTGCCTGCAGTCCCGGGATCAGCGCACTTCTCCCCATAGCCAGCCCCACAAGCTCGGGGGACAGCGGGGAGGCAGAGCGCGCCTTCCCGCTGTTCCCCGACCTGGTTCTTCCAGCCCCGCACCTGGGGGGGAAATAATTTTTTTTTCTTTATTTCCCCCCCCAAAAAAAACTAGGTGCGTCCTATGGGCCGGAGCATCCTATGGGGCGCAAAATACGGTATTTGTTTCATTTAAATGACTGTACCACAAAGAATGTTTATAACCCTTTGACTTCAGATCATGTTATCTGTAGTCCTAAAAGAACACTGGACCAATGCAAACTTGTGTTTCATTAAGAGCCTTTAAAGATATGTAACTTAACATCTTTTCAGGTGCTTTTTATGTTTCTTTCCAGAAATCTCAGCTGACAAACCAAACTAAGCTGTTAGAAAGCTCTTGGTCCATGGAGGCCATTTGTAACTCCCATGACTTGGATCTAGGCACATCTCCAAACTGTCACCAGAAAACTGATTAGCTGGTATCCTTGGTACCATTGCTTTTAGAGAGCATCCCATTAGCTATTCTTCATAGTATTGAATAATGATACACACATTAGGAGGGTTATATTATTTGCCATGGCAACAACTAAAATGAATGTTGTAAAGATTATTGTGTTGTCCTTTAAAACTACCTGAGCCTGGTCATTATTTAGCCTTTCTTTTGTGTTGTAATATTTCTTGATTTGATTTTTTTAAATGACTTTTGACTAAATGATAAAAATTCTGAACGGTACTGAAGGGTTTTAGTGTTATCAGAATATGTGCTAGTAGTTCACAATTGACCTTTTGTGAGGAACGTTTTGAAGTTGTTTTGAAGCATGTGTCTCTCTCAAGAGAAAATGAAGTGCTTGGAGGTGTCCTGTATTTGGCTGAAATCTCTGGGTGGTATGTTCAGGTCTGTAGTGATTCTAAATGGAGTATGAAGTGGGCAGTGTGTTAACTTTTGCTTTAGTCAGATTCAGTGTCTTGGTTCTCGTTTTGCTCTGTCTCTGAATCAACCGTGTGCTTCTGCTGAATCCAATAGACTTCACTCGCTTAGATTCATATAATAATTTCTGTATTCTCATCTCCCAATGGCACTCAAGCCTGAGGATCATTGGATCTGAACTGTTTTCACACCCTAATACCACATCCTGTAGAATTCTATCAAATATATTTCATCTGTACACTTGGAATGAATTTCAGGAACCGAAATGCTTTTTCTGTGGAGCCTGAACAGGAGCAGTCACCATTAAGAAAAAGAGGTCGGAATAGGCCAATATATATGTGGACTGTCCCTGGATCAAGTGATGTTTCTTCTTTAAGTCCTCAGAGTTTTTAACCCAGCTCAAGGTTGTCATCTGAACTAGCCAGATGTTTAACAGATAATCAATCACAGGCAGTCCATCATTTGAAAAATAAGACTTTCGAGCTGATTTGCCCCAAAATGACAAGTAGACATTCCATTTTGGTAAATGTAACCTTGGTTTAAGGAGCCATTTGGATGGAGGATTCAAAACATGATGTGTTTTTCTCTTTGCTCTATGTTAAAAAATCATCATCACCTTGGAAGCACCAGCACATTTTGTCTCCTGACATCTGCTAGGTTGCATTTGATAATGGTAGAATATAGTGTGGCATAATGGTTAATGTTGGGCTATGACCTGGGAGACCAGGATTTGAATTCCCACTCAGCCATGAAGCACACTGGGTGACCTTAGACCAGTCCCTGTCTCTCAGTCTTACCTACTTAACAGGGTTGTTGTGAGGATCAAATGAGGAGGAGAGCTATGTGCAGCACCTTGAGCTCATTGGAGGGGAAGGTGGTATATAAATGCAATTAACTAAATAAATAATAGTGGGGACAGCTGGGCAGAGCTGGTGTTTGACAGGTATCATTAATATTCATTTTATATGCTTGCTATCTGGAGGACCATAATGGCAACTGATGTGTGATCCTGAAGAACAGCAGTGATACAAGCAGGAAACGGCTCCTGTAGAAATATGTGATACCTGCAGTACTGATAAGCAAGATATCTCTACTGTGGTTTTACATTGAACTTGTTTTATCACTCTGTGAACACTTTCTATGTACTGTAATGGGGTAGCAAAAGTTGTTAGAATCACTTTCAAAGAAAGCTATGTTTACTTTATATCAGGTATGAGCAACATGCAGCCCTCATTTTCATTTCAAGCAGCCCTTGGCCTAATTTCATGCATGTGGCAAACAAGGGAAAGGGGAGTGGCAGAGAGAGAGAAAGAGAAAAGTATTCCTAAATCTTGGGGTGATCTAGTGGTTTTTAACTTCTGTATTGTTGATTTCCTCTCTCCCCTTGAAATGGGTATCATGCAGGAAAGCTGCCTATAAATACCTTGTAATAACAACAATGGATAATAATAGAAGTTGGGCCACTTGTGTCTCTAGTACAGCCCATGTCTACCACCACCATGTGGTCTCCAACAGTTTATCCCTGAAGAAATACAGTGCTCAAAAGCAACAACAACAAAGGTTCTAAGGAGTGATGATGAATGATGCTTTTCTGAAGATTTTCACAGGCCTTTTTTTGGTGTTGCTGTAAATCCAAAACAGTTAACATGGTTTCTTCTGTTTTGTTTTTCAGAATAAGTTTTACATAGAAACCAAGCTTAATCGAGACTTAAAAAATGACCTTATAAAACTGTTTACGGAACATGTTGCAGAAAAGCACATTTACAGCCTAATGCGTAAGTAAAGTTCTTGGGCTTACGTTTTCTAAAATATTAAGTTAATTGGCTTCTTTCGTATTGTGGAGTTACAAAATGCTGAAGTTTCAATATTAACGGGGAAATTGAACAGGTAAAAATTCTAAGACCAAATATTATATCAAGGAACCTTTAATAGCTTATTTCAAAATAGGCTTTGAAGACCAGATGATGGATGTCATTTATTCCTGGCCTATATTAGAAAATGCAATATGATTATTTCAATAAATGCAGCTATCTGCTGAAGAGGTTTGAAGCAGATGTCTTTGACAGTATTAAGTTGTACTAAAATACAGTCATAATGCATCACTGGGAAAAACTGGCTCCATGCACAGATTTTCTGGCTTTTTGTGGTTTTATTGTGAACAAGCAGCATGCCAAGTCACTTCCACTGCACTCCATCCCTGATATGAACAGGATATACTAACCAGAAAGCCTAGACTTCCTGTTCCATCTGAACAGGGTGTTGTGACTTGTTTCTCCCTAGCAAGCCTTGATCTCTAGCTAACCTTAAACCATGGGAGGTGAAGGTTATTCATCGAGGTAGTTAAGGAGATCCACAGTTTAGATCTGGGCTTCCGAGTTTGTTTGTCCTGCTCATGCCTGGAAAGGAGTTTAGTGGGAACATTGGGAAGCATACAGTAGCATGCTGGTCATTCACAAAAGACCATTGTAAGCCAGGAAGTCTGCAGCCACAGAGTTCACTGTTGATTTGTTCTTACTACAACATCCAGCTTTTTGTTACTTTTTTAACAAATCTTTTGCTATAAATGGAAACAGTCCTTTTCAGATGTCAATGTTGACATTGGCAAAACAGCAACTATCTCTGGATTCAAACCAACCCAGTAAGAAAATAAGAACACTTCATTGATTACTTTGGCCTCCATTGAAATCGTTCATGGAAATTCTGTTCTTCAGACATTTTCATAAACTGTCACCAGTTTTCTGCATATAATGAGTTACATATTTCATTTTTTTTGTATGTGTGGAAGCATGAACCATGCAATTTTCCATGCCTGTCTTTAGGAGAGCTGCACCACCTGCTTTTTGTGAACCTATACAGTCAAACCGCGATTCCCAAGCGGCTCTGTTTTGGAATGTTTCGGCTCCCGAATCCCAAAATCCCAGAAGTAAATGCTCCAGTTTTTTAATGTTTTTTTGGAAGCCGAACGTCTGACCCGGCTTCCGCTTAAGTGCAGGAAGCTCTTGCAACCAGTTGGAAGCTGTGCCTTGGTTGCTGAATGTTTCGGAAGCAGAACAGGCTTCCTTAACGGATTACATTCAACAACCGAGGTTTGACTGTATCGGCTTTGATTAAGGTAAACTTGTTACTGTCATTGTATCAGCCCAACCGAGGTGTAAGTAAGAATTATTAGATACACCCTAAAGTCCCATAAGTATTGCATCTGAATGCTTTCTGCTAGTAGTTTAATAGCACTTATTTAAAATTCCCTTATATCAAATCAAGGTAAACAACTGATCATAGTCAATAAAAGGAAATGTCTGTTCTTCACTTCTTACATCCCAGTCCACAGCTAATGAACACCCAGCAATGCCATTTTGTAGTATTCTACCTTTTTGCTGTTTAGTGCTTCAGCGTCAGATCCATTTATAGTAGTACCTCGGGTTAAGAACTTAATTCGTTCTGGAGGTCTGTTCTTAACCTGAAACTGTTCTCAACCTGAGGCACCACTTTAGCTAATGGGGCCTCCCGCTGCTGCTGCGCCGCCACCCCGCAATTTCTGTTCTCATCCTGAAGCAAAGTTCTTAACCCAAGGTACTATTTCTGGGTTAGCGGAGTCTGTAACCCGAAGCGTCTGTAACCTGAGGTACCACTGTACTTGCAACCGATACTTTTTCTAAATCATTAACGTTATAATTTTAGTGAGACTGACTCATGCGTCTGACATATGGCAGCAGTTTTTTATTTAGGTGTAAAGGTCAAGGCATTTAGATGTAAAGGCATTGTTAAAAGTCAAGAAGTAATTTCCTGTGCCACTATTGGGCGTAATCAATAGACATTAAAAGGCTGAGTCACCTCAGTAAATATAAGGGATTTTTTGGAACAATCAAAAGGTTGACGTGCTAGGTTTTCTAGTATGGAGAAAAGACAATCTAAACACGATAGTGGTCTATAAATGTATGTCTGGTTTGGAGAAAGTGCATGGGCCTGAAGGAGCGTCTCCACCCCCATTGTTCTGCCCGGACATTGAGGTCCAGTGCCAAGGGCCTTCTGGCGGTTCCCTCACTACGGGAAACCAAGTTACAGGGAACCCGGCAGAGGGCCTTCTTCGTATAGGCACCTGCCCTGTGGAATGCCCTCCCACCAGATGTCAAAGAGAAAAACAACTACCAGACTTTTAGAAGACATCTGAAGCCAGCCCTTTTTAGGGAAGCTTTTAATGTTTAACAGACTATTGTATTTTAATATTTTGTTGGAAGCCGCCCAGAGTGGCTGGGGAAACCCAGCCAGATGGCAGGGTATAAATAATAAATTATTATTATTATTATTATTATTAGCCAACTCCTCACCCATTTTCTCATAATAAAAGAGATCTTGGCCACCCAGTTATATTAATGGGTGAGTACATTTTCCATGCAGTTCATCATGCAGTGGTTCCCAGTTGGTGGTCCATGGACACCAGGGGGTCCCCGTAACCCACCCAGGGTTACCTTCAAACTCTTCTGTTAACTTAGCATTGCATACAGAGATTTTCCTCTGTTTTTAATACAAACTGTTATCTTACTTGATTTTATTTTTAAGAGGCTTAAAATGTTTTCTTATCTTGGGAAGTTTTAACAGGCTTTAAAGTTCTTACTGTGTCATGTGGGGGTATCAATAGATATTGGAGCGATCCAGTATTTTCATACTGTTGTTAATAAAGATGGTAAAGGCAGTTGTCTCTATATTCAGAAAAGGTTGTTGGTAAATACTAGAATATTCCTCATTTCTGAACTAGTAACAATTGATAATATGGTTCATTCAGTTTTGTCTTCTGAAAAGGTTATTTGGATGCCACCATTGCCTGCTTAATTGGCATACAATTAATGTTAAGTGAGTTTATTTTATCATTTCAGCTTTACTCCTAGAAGCTCAGACCACGCCTTTTTGGATAGACCCTTCCACTATGGCAAACATTGTCAAAGGATTGTATATGCTTAGGCCAGGTAAATTATTATTGTTATTTTTATTATTATTTTAAATACTCTTATTAATTTTGCACATCGTTTAGAAAACAATAACACAATGAGGGAGAATTGGTGATCACATTTTGATGGATAGGAGATATAAAGAATATTGATACATAGTGTATCTTGCGCTTCACAGAAGGAATACAAACATAGGAAATGAGCTAAATCATTTTTCTTTTGAATAGTCTATAATTTACAGGACTGATGTCCCTGGAAAATCAAGCAGCAAGTTCCTTTGTCTCCATGGTGCTGATAATGCCATGGTTGAAGGTTTGGTCCCTGGATGGGACAGCTGCATTCTTCTGCATAGCAAGGGGTTGGGATAGATGATCCTCAGGGTCCCTTCCAACAATTCCATGATTCTGTGACTTCTGCCCTGTTGGTATCATGGCCTGGCTTATGTACGCATGGCAAAAAATTAAAGGGCTTGGCTTTGAAGCCTTCCAGAGCGGTATATTTTAGGCAAGTCTCAATAACCAGATCAACAAGAAGGCGTATCTCTCTCTCTCTCTGTGTGTGTGTGTGTGTGTGTGTGTGTGTGCGCGTGTTACAGTCCTTTCTTATAATCTATTTTGGCCAGATTGTGGACTTGCAGGTGAAGTCCTAGATCAGAGCCATTAATATCAAGGTGTGTAAAACTGTGTGGCACATGGGAAATTGGATGCATTTGTGGTACATTTGTGATTATGATTGCTGTCGAAACACTAGGAACACCTACTCCACCAGGCTGCTCCCTGACAAACATCTTTCTCTTCTATAAGCAATCTGGTGCCTTGTACATGCATTAAGCATGCAGCAAGATAATATTTAATCCTTTCATAGAATCATAGAGTTGTTGACTTGGAAGGGACCCTGAGAATCATCTTGTCCAGCCCACAGCAATGCAAGAAAATGCGGGGATCGAACCTGCAATCTTGCCATTATCAGCACCACGCTCTAACCAACTGAGCTATCCTTTCTATGTTGTGTGAAAGCTCAGTGCTAGGATGTTACAGGCCTGCCATATGAATTAAATGTGTGTGTGTGTGCGCGAGTGATTTTGTTTCATTCACTATTACTTTCCATTTCTACACAGAATGGGTTCAGATGGCACCAGCTTTATTTTCTAAATTTATTCCAAACATCCTCCCTCCTGCTGTAGAATCTGAGCTTGAGGAATATGCTGCTCAAGACCAGAAACTCCAACAAGAACTTATTCAGGAAGGATTTTCCAGGTAATAACCCTGGCATTTAAAAATTAGTACCCAGTTTTTTTCAGCGAGTGTCTCAAATTGATGTTGTTGGGGTTTGGGAGTGGGGTCAGTCATGGCTATGACTATGAGCTGAAATAAAGTGCAGCCACAGTCAGAATAATTGCTGCCAGCAGTCCTTGTACTTGCCCAGAAAAGTCAGAACAGCTTTGTGTGTAAAGCAAACATTTTATGAACTGCCCTGAGAGTAGAGTTTAAAGTGCAATAATAACACCTGATTACCTACCCCTGTACTGTCTGTTTGCTGTAAATGTTTTGGGGAAGGAGCACGTGTTTCTTTGTTCTCTTCCTTGGTGTTTCCATTGACCGTGGAGAATGTGTTCACTGAGGAGCTATCCGGGATGGGGACAGTTTTCAAGGACTGTGAACAGGACAAAACAAAGATATTGCCTTTTGAACAACTGCTACAAAAGCACCCAAAGCTGTCTGCTTAAAGCCATATGATAGCCTTGATAAACCAGCTACTAGAGTTTTGAATGTTGTGATGGCGGAGTGGATGGGAATTATTACTGTTCTGCTTTGTTTGTTGTTATATGTCCTTATGTATGTGTGTGCACACTTTCAGCTTTTGCCAGGAAAAGCAGGAGTTCTCTCAACACCCTCCTTAAAAGGTTGTACAGTAGTACCTCTGGTTACGTACTTAATTCGTTCCGGAGGTCCGTTCTTAACCTGAAACACCACTTTAGCTAATGGGGCCTCCTGCTGCCACCGTGCCGCCGAGCGATTTCTGTTCTCATCCTGAAGTAAAGTTTTTAACCCGAGGTATTATTTCTGGGTTAGCGGAGTCTGTAACCTGAAGCGTATGTAACCCGAGGTACCACTGTACTTGAACCCTTGCAGAATGGCTGTAGGTTTATTGCGCAGTTACACCAATCACTTTAGCCTGGAAATCTGATCAAGTGCTTTGTTTCATTTTCATTTTGAATTTTAAACTGCTGTTCCCCAGTGACTCTCGGTAAATTTAGCCTTGGGGCCGATATTTAGCACTAGCAATGTTCCAGGAGGATAAGTTAGCTGTAGTGCTAGAGGTCACTTACAATACAAAATAGTTTTAGCTATGAGTCATACATATGTTGGAGGAATGTTAACTCTTCCATTTTGTTCACTAAATGGAACAATGTTGGCTTGGTAGCATTTCTTTCATTAGCTTATGAGTGTGGTTTCCAAGATGCTCAGTTCAAACCCCTTTGGAGAAATAGTAAATTTGAGAAATTTCATCAAGACACTAACTAGTCTGATGGCTGAGGCACAAATGCCAAATGAAACTCCCCATGTTAGTAATTGTTGCCCTTTCCCAGTTTCTAAATAAGCTGCTTAAATAAAGCTGCTTTCCTGTGACTAATGGCAGGGTTGCTCCTTGTGTCTCAGATCTTTTAGGCAAAATTAGATGGCTCATTAAATATATGTATGTTTGCTAACATGCTTGTAGATAAAGCTGCTTTTCCTGTGAGCTAATGCAGGGTTGCTCCTTGTGTCTCAGATCTTTTAAGGCCAAAATTAGATGGCCTCATAAATATATGTCATGTTTGCTAACATGTTGGTATATATAATTATTTTTTTTAAGATAGCCCAATTCGTGGGCTGTTAGCAGCATGGATGGGAAAGGTTACGGCATCCTAATGGAAAACAGCCCCTCATTGGAAGTTGCTGTTCACCTCCAAAAGAAAGTTGCCATAGGTGTCAATCTCATGTTATGTTTTTGGTAGGATAGCTACTTCTGCATGGTTGGATCCGTCCCTATAACATTTAGAAAGGTGGCCATTGTGTTGGATAGGTAGATTTTGTGTCTGCTTCACATGCCAGTGTTACTAGCCACAGAGCGTTATGCTTGCCAGCATGGGAAGTAAGCACATCATTTGCTTATGCTTTGCAGCTGCTCCTTTCAAATAACTGCTGGTGTGGAATAAGACCATACTGAAATAAAACCCTGACACACAGGTAATTCAAAACTTGGCCCTAAATATTAGGGATAATACTTGTCAGGCAGAATAAATTGATTCTGGTGCATTCTGTTCCTTCTGTTATTGTTGCTCTTCTGGCATAGATAAAAATTATATTTTACTTGTATTGTTTTTGAACTCTATATTGATGTCAGGCTTCATGCTAACTTTCTATAATTCCTTCCATTGCTACCTTTTTTTTTAAGAGGTGACCAGTCACGTAAAAGAGCTGGAGAAGAATTAACCTACAGTAAGTAATTTAGATTACCATTATAAATTATTTGATTAACAACAGAAGCTTTGTTTGAGACAGTGAAGCAAACAACTCCTTCTCACCAACAAGTTAAGTTCCTGTGTATGGCAACTTGCAACATGGGTCAAAGAGAAGGTGCCAGGGTGCAGAAGGTTTGGAATGTAACCTTGAGGAGTAAGAAAAACTGGCTCTCTGTAGTTCCACTTCCCTCTACATCAGGCATAGGCAAACTCGGCCCTCCAGATGTTTTGGGACTACAACTCCCATCATCCCTCACTAACAGGACCAGTGGTCAGGGATGATGGGAATTGTAGTCTCAAAAACATATGGAGGGCCGAGTTTGCCTATGCCTGCTCTACATCTCTAAAATATTGGTAGCCTGAGCCCATAATAAAGTTTGTAGAGATGAGCAAAACAAGATTCAAGAAGTTGTAAATTTAGTATTGGATCACTGAAGAGTGTGTGTGTGTGTGTGTGTGTGTGTAGGTGTAGGTTGACTTTACCTTCAGCATGATATCAGTGAATGGATACTACTTGAATTGGCAGGATCAGAAATACCCAGGCCTTATCTTGCAGGTCTGTTCTGCCAAACAGTGTCGTTCTGCAGTCCTTGGTGCTCCAAACTGATGAAACTACTGTAGTGTGTTGTATAATATGGTGGTGTTTAGGGCTTTAGTGCTTAACAGCCATCTATGTACTTTTCTGGCATATGGAAAGATGTCCTTTAAGTTTCTTAGGGTATTTGTACACATAGAAGAATGGGTGGGATGCTTGTCTTTTGAGATAATGGATCAGGTGGGAGGGCACCAGCAAAGATGCTACCTTGAATCATTTTTCTCTTTAAACTTTATTTTTATTTTTACTGTTTTAGATGGTTCCGCTTCGTGTGCAAGCTCAAGAGGATGCAGATAGTGACTGCAACAAGTATTTTATTCTCAATACGAGCGGACACTGGAGTGACATTGGAAGGGAGGGTATCCAGAAGCCCCGTTGGGCTCTACTGATACTCAGGTTCTTTGATGCAAGCTATACCTACAAGAGGAGTTTGGACATGTTTCTTGCCATGTAATAAAATATCTGTTTGCTGCTATTTGGGGGCTAACTTGGAACAATGTGACCAGTCCTGACAAGTTCTTCTTGGGCAGTCCTGTGAGGAGCAGACCTTCCTGTTTCTGTTTTAAAAAGACCAGTGCATATAAAACATGGTAGCCAAAAAAAAAAAAAAAAGCAGCTTCCTCTGAAAGAAACTTTGCACTTTCGAAATGTGTGGACATTGCTGAGCTTGTGCCCTTTAGGTTTTGTCTGGAATGTTTTGCTTAGAAAGAATAAAAATTGATCACTTGGCAGTATTTCTTTTGTTCCACAAAAAGTTTGCATCCTAGAGTCAGTCTTATGTTATTGGCTCTTGACATTCCAGATCTATATGGTTCACCTATTCAGCCCCCTTCCCCCTATTCCCCCCCTTTATTCAGATATCTATTAATAGGTCCTTCTGTGCCCTCAGTCTCCTTGATTTCAGCTTGTGTGCTTTGCAGCTTTGTCTCTCTTAAGCTGTGATTTGATTAAACATGCTGCAAATTTGCAAGATTTTCTTGCAACCTATCACTTAGGAAACCAAGAGTGAACGAAAATTGCAATTATGTTCCCTGTTTCCTTCCACATGAGAAGTATTAATGCAAGTCTCAGCATTTATTGTATTTTGTTGTTGGCTTCAGTAATGATTGCAAAAGCTTAAACCCCAGATAGAAAGCGGTTCCCACATGCGATTTCAATTCAGAGTTGAAACGCTGGTACATACAGATAGAAGGATTTGACAAGACATTGTGGGTCAGGTTATTGGCTCACATCTACCGTGTTGGGCTGTGACAGTACAGATAGATTTTTCTTTATGGTTTTAAGTAATCTGTTTGATTACCTTGTTATTGGACTGCTATAATAGATTTAAAGAACGTAGCTGAAACTTTGCTTGTAGCTTACCTCTGGGTAGCAAGGTACTCTAGGTCAATTTTATACACCCATGAAAAGTTTGTACCCTTTTCAGAAGGTAAGTGAATTGTGTACTTGATTTGCACGTAAAGGATTTTTTCCTCTTGTTAAAGCTTGAACGTCCTGCAATAGATTGCACTGCATTGTGGGTATGAATATATATGCAGCAATCTGTACCTCATATGGGATGAATTTGGATCCCTGTATTCTACTTCTAGTCCCAGATCAGAGGCAAGTCACAAGGTGCTGTCCTGCCCACCCCGTGTTCTCTGTGAAGAAGCACCATGCATGCATAGAGAACTAAGGGATCCCCTGTGTCTTATGGGTGGTAACCAGCTAGGTCATACTCAGAGTAGATCCATAGAGCAGACTTGTTAGTCATGTCTAAAGTCCATTGATTTCATCAGGTCCCTTCTGGGTAGGATTTAGTTGGATATCACACAATGAGGAGGTTTTTTTAATAGAAAGAGTAGGTTGTTCTCTGCAATAAAAGGTAAGTGCAGATATCGATTGCCACTGAGACAGTAAAGCCAAACTGGATGCAGTTGTTCCGAGAAGTTAGTGCTCAGGGGAAGTTCATTATGAATGAACCTTTAATATAAGTGTTGTGCCCGTGGAAGGCCATGGAGAGGAAGCATTTTGCATTTCCAGAAGTAATAAATGGCAGCTCTCTTTATTAGTAAAAAAATAATCTTATTACATGCCTTCCCCACTTTTGTGCACTGGTCACACTGGGCTTATCTGGTGCACAGAGTGCCCTGCACAGTTTTGAAATCTCATTGGGTAGGACTCTTGAGAGATATGTTTGTCCATTATGGTGTGAGAGCATAATCTTAAATAGCAAAATGGTACTTGGAAAAAGTGTTGGTTTGTTTTAAAAAGAACAACAAAACCCTTGCAATATCAAAAAATCTTTTAGACCTGATGGGAAAACTGGGCTCCTAGTTAATGGTCAAAAATTATGCATCACTTCAAAGAAACCATGACAGTAGATATGGCAAGAAAATTCCTTTCTACTTTTACATAGGCTGTCCTCCTTTCTTTTGATATTCAAATGAAAGACACTAGGAAATTACAGATTGTTAATTTTTGAAATGTTTTAAAAATTAATCCCTTGCATGTTCTTGGTTTGTTCAGTATTTTTCTTCGAAACAATTAATTAGATGAAAAGTACTAAGTGAGAGGCGGGTATAATTTTGTTAGAGCAGATTCTGCTGTGGAATGTTTTCCATTAGAAACAATGGACCACCTAGGACCTTTACCAGTGTAACATTTTTTGTGGTTTCATCCCCAGCAAATTGATACCATGAGCAGTATATTGTGACATCCCACTCAGTGTCCATAAGTTTGCACGCTGAGCTCCCAGTCATTGAATGTGATGAGCAAGTACATAGTCATGCCACTAGAATTACATTAGCCCAGTTGGCATCTGCTCCAGATTGGCACCCCACCCACCAGACCTCAGTTGCCCTCAAGGACAGAGTTCACATAAGGCCTTCTGATGTTCGAAAGATCTGGGGGGTATCTTTTGTAGGGAGGTCATATATATCCAATACTGTATTTAATGCAGAATGTATCTGTACAAATGCCACTCACACCAGTTGACTGAGTGTACCTTTGGATATGGAAAATGGAGCGTGCAGAATGTATGCACAACTTAGTAGTTTTAGTAACCAAACAAAAACAGATTGAAGAAAACAAAACCAACATCCCTGATATAAAAGCTACTTGCTTCCGCAGTTGTGAAAATAATTTTTATGATTTATTTATTTTTATGGATGGGTACTTCACTACATCCAGGTGATTCCTATTGTTGTAGCATTCTCCTCAGAACCCTCCCATTCAGGCTTTAGTTGTGTGGCAGAAGATGGCAGAGCTACAACGGCTGGAGCAGGAGTGGGGAACATGTCGGGCTGTTTTTCATCACCTGTAGTCTGAACAGCATCTGGAGGGCTATAGGTTCCTCATCCCTGCTCTGGTTAGTGAATGAGGACTGGAACCAAGCATATGGAACACCATGCCTACAGCCATTCCATGGCACTGGGTCTTCTCTAAAAGATGGAAACCTAAGAGTTTTATCCATTGAAGTCATCTCATTAGTGCAAGGTTTTCCACAGTGGGACTTCCTTCCTTTTCCTTCTCCCCTTCAAATCTGTTCTGGCTTTCCCCTCCAACCCTCCAGAAGAGATTTGAGGAGCACCGAGGAGAGGGACGGGAAGTTCCATTGCACAGGTGGAAGTCCTTGTGCTCATGGGGCAACTTAGTTGGGTGCAACCCATATTGTTCTGCCCTCCCCAGTTAATGTCGCTACTGCATTACAGATCGCCCTGGTAAAGCACTACATTGCTTAGTATAACCCATCATATACTTCCTACCAATGGTCCTCTGCCGTTTGGTCCACTTTATCTTCGTTTAGAGTGGTCAGAGGTAAAGTAATCTGAAGGATAGCATCTGAAGCACAAGTGAAATATTTGGTACCACTGAAAGGGTGGGAGGTTGACGATCGTGCCTGGGATTTGTGGTTCTTGTTTAATCAGAAAGGCCATGTAGTTAAATCTTCCACCTTTCTGCCATTTTGCTTTGACCAATGAGATATACTCCTGCAAGAAGGAAACATAAGCAGAAAGTATTCATGGTGACTTATACCATTGCCATGGAATTCCCTTCATTTGGAGTGTTGGTACTGTTTGAGACTGAATATATTCCACATAGTCTATGTTGCAACGGATTAGAATGGGATTCTCATTTGATATTTTGTTGTTGGCAGAACTAGAGCTACCAGAATCAAGCGGATGAGAATGTTAATATAAAACACCCTTTTGATTTCCAAGAGTGTGCAGGTTTATTATGTATGTTGGGCTGCTTTTTTTTTTTTAACTCGTAACTAATTTGTGATTTGTAAATAACCTGTAGAATGCAACTTTTGTTTCAGGTTATATAATTTTATTTGTGTCATTGAATGTTGAGTCTTAGGACATTACCTTTTTGAAACCAGTCCTTCTCTAAAAGTTAGGACAAAGCCTTCCTCTAATGTCAATATTCTACACATTCTTTGGGGAAAAAATGTTTTAGCCCTATGTAGCATCTTGCCTGACTAGGATACTGAACACTTTTTGTAAAAATAAAAAAAATGTTGTGTTATGTTGTAAATTAGTATTAAGATTTCTGTATGTTTTGGCATCTAATGCTGAAATCATTTGTTTCCTTATCTTCAAAGGGTTTTATCTTTGCGAGCTGAGCATGAAAGAACACAACAAAACATATGAAACAATGGTTACTCTGTAGACATTTTTCTTGGTCAATCTGTGTCAGGTCTCTAAAGCCATGACTTAACCAAAGCAGCATGGTCTTAGCTATGGTGCTTCTGTGAATCAGACAACTTGCCACACGTGTATGTGTGTGTGTGTGTTTTGTTTCCCCCCTCAAATGAGACCTAAATAGCAAAATTTTATGCATCAGGTGTCATCTTATATATCAGATTTGTTTCTTGGGAAATTTGCTCTATTAAAATATTTTTAGACAAACATTTTGGTTTTGAAGTTTCCATTTTTAACTTGCATGCACTTATCCATACTGGTTTGCCCGGCTGAGAGAGACTTTGATGGCCAGTAACAGTGCTGGCATTACACAGTGAGTGCAGAAGTGTCCCAATGAAAACTCTGCCTGCCTTTTGAAGGATGCTTCTGCAGTAATCAGCCAGAGAAGTAATGACATTATTTTCTCTGAGAATTCCACCTCGGATCTATTGTGCAAAGGTTCCTACTATTATACTGTTGAATATATTACTGTGCAGAGTGCACATAGGAGTTGCAGGCTGTTCGAACTCTTCACACGCCATTCACTGACATGAGCAAATTTTCAGCATCGGTCTTATACCTCGCTGCTTTTTTTTAGGTTGCAGGAGAGCTATGAAAAGTGCTTTGCATATATAGTGATCTTTTGATCTTCATTTCCTGAATCCCTATTTTGTCTGCCAGACATAATTATGCCAGTTTACATTTGCTGGTAATGGAACAGCAGTTCATATTTAAGACATCACAAAAAGTGTTGTGATTTAGCCACTTCACTGGTCTGTGGCTTGTTTGCTTATGTATTTCCACCCTCTGGATGAACCTTTCTAATTTCTAAAGCTGTCAGCCAGTTTTTTGTTGCTAGGGTAGGGTGATTGTGTGGCTAGAAACCCCTTATTCTGAAACAATTTTTTAAATAAAAAAATTCATCTATCTAGGCCGATTAGGATGGCTTCCCCCTCTATCCTCCATATAATGGTAGTGATTGCTCTTTCTGTTGCTGATGGAATGAGATAACCTTGGAGCTCTATTCTCTAGATCAGTAGCCTCCTATTATTTCAGAATCTGAGACTCAAAGATAGATTTTGGTGGCCCATTTCTTAATCGTTTATCATATATTTGTTTTGTGGTAGTGCTGCTGTTGCGAACCACCTTGGATCGTGCTGTGACTCAGTAGTGAGTCCTGACCCCTAAGAGCTGAAGTCCAATTCTCTTGAGGGATCTGTCATATAGTGATGGGAGATTTCTTATCAGCAAGCAGCAAAAAATATAATGTGTCCCCTTGGGGTTAGTCCCATGTATGAGGTTCCCTAGCCTAGAGGTACCACTGTGCAGTGAATGCTATAGTTGCTGTGGCATTTTACCAGGACTTCTTAATTGTGAACGTGGTGGGTTGGCTTAGACAACACAACCACTGTTGTGAGAAGGGAACCTACTAATTTGCTCAAGTGATGTAAATTATGTGATTGCACCTCCTGCTTGCCCGTAAAACTTAAGAGAGCAGATGGCGTTTGCCTGGTACATACACAACGTTGACATCTAACAACGACCCCAATTTCCCCCCTCATAAACGGGCATACTTACATACACTTCTTTATATCCTGGGTTGGAGGGTGAGGTTGACTGTTCCTACCAAGTTTTCTTCGCTCCTTTCTCCTTGCACCAGAATCAGTGGCTCCATTAGGCCCTATCCACAAATGTGAGTGAGGTGGAGGGCAGTGGTCAGACATAGGATGTGAACAGGCGGGCCCTTTGGCAAAATGTGGCAGCGGGGTCTCATGCATATTGAGTTACCTTAGCTCTTGGATATTGGGTGGGAGCCACAAAGTTTATCCTCATTGCCAGGTTGACTGGCGTTGGTGCATTAGCTGCTGAAGAGAAAGCAGTGGTGAGAGATGATGGACGAGTATCAGCGTAGGTAAAATTTGTAGTACAAATCATTATAATGTGCCTTGTTCCTGAGTAGGTGGGGCCTGTTTCCTAGTAGATAGGCTCACCACATGCCATCCTTCCCTCCCTCCTTCGGCTGTCAAACAAGGACCACCTTGCAAGCTCTAGGTACCGCTTTCATGCATTCCACCAGACACAGGGTTGTTATCAATCCATGCTCCTACTCTGTCATCCAAAATAGCAGCATCTTCTGTTCCTTTCAGAGCAGCCAGTATTATCCCCTGCAGCAGGACCTGGGCTACCACCACCACTGAGTTGCTGCACCTGCCTGAGTGAGCTATCTGCCCAGCCATTATGCACATAGTCCTAACGGAGTAGGTTTCTTTTAGAAGCCATAAACATCTGCATGGCTCAGGGTCCCCCAGATATGCAGAAACCTGTATTCTTACAGTTAGCCCCATTTTGTTTCCAACCCATTTGAGCCAGCCAATGAGCCACATTGCTATTGGAAGGGGAAAGTGGTGCCTGCAGCTTCAGTTCAGAATGCTAGTTACCTCATTCTGTTACCCTTTGTTCTCAGTTTCTCCCTGTCATCTCCTCCAGTGTGATGTAGTGGTTAAGAGCGGTGGACTCGTAATCTGGTGAACCGGGTTCGCTTCCCCGCTCCTCCACATGCAGCTGCTGGGTGACCTTGGGCTAGTCACACTTCTCTGAAGTCTCTCAGCCTCACTCTCACCTCACAGAGTGTTTGTTGTGGGGGAGGAAGGGAAAGGAGATTGTTAGCCGCTTTGAGACTCCTTCGGGTAGTGATAAAGCGGGATATCAAATATAAAACTTCTCTTGTCTCTCCAACCCTCAGTATTTCTTGCTCGCTGAGCATATTTGGGTGCTGGTGAGGTTTCCCTCCCCCTCCATTTTCAGTGTGAGAATGGGCAATGGCAGCTAAATGAAAATCCTGGATTTCTCTCATTTTTCTAGGCATCTCAGGGAGCATCTAAAAATGGCCTTTTCTCTTGTGGACCAGGCAGCAGTGAGAAAGTTTTCATCTCTCTGTACTTGCCTCACTTTCCCGATCATCCTTTCCCAGTTGCTCAATTTCATTTTCTCACCCACTTTTCTGCATCTCCCTCTCAACCGTCTATCAGCATTCTGTGTCCAGTGAGCATGCTCTGTTCCCATAGGGCTTGACTTGTCCATTTGGTGTGTGTGTGTGTGTGTGTGTGTGTATTGGGGGGGGTGTCCCTGTCTATTCTTAGCAAACATCAGGTTTGCTGTGTGTGACTTAGAATCATAGAACTGTAGGAAGGGGTCCTGAGGGTCATCTAATCCAACCCCCTGCAATGCAGGCATCTCAACTAGATCATACGTGACAGATGGCCATTCAACCTCTGTTGAAAAACCACCAAGGAAGGAGAGTCCACCACCTCTCACAAGAATCGGTTCCACTGTTGAAAAAGCTCTTACTGACAGAAAGTTCTTCCTGATGTTTAGTCTGAATCTCTAAAGAAGGCTAATTCCAGGTAAGTTCTGTGGCCTGGAACTTCCCATCTTGGATAAGCGGGGCAAGGGTAACTGTGACAGAAGCCAGAGCCACATTTCTCTAAGATTAATCTATGATGGCATTAAGAAACACATGGGGTCTCTTCTAATGTAATATATAAAAGGTGCCTCTCCCAGTACCACGTATTGAGATTAGTTGGAAAGGCCCAGTTAGTAGTCCAGTCATTAATAGATGTCTGTTTGACTGGTACATGCACTTAAAAAGGCATATACAGTGGTACCTTGGTTCTCAAACGCTTTGGTACTCAACAACTTGGAACCCACACCCAGAAGTGTTCCGGTTTGCGAACTTTTTTCGGAAGCTGAACGTACTCCATTTTGAGTGTTACGCTTCCAAGTTGAGTGCTACACTTCGGTTTTGAGTGTTACGCTGAGGTCTGTTTTTGCTATTTATTTTGTGTTTTTGTTTTTGCTGCTTTTTTGTTTTTGAGACTGTGTGGAACCCAGTTCAGCTACTGATTGATTGATTGTGTGACTGCAGTACATTGTTTATTGCTTTCATTTTATGGATCAATGGTCTCATTAGATAGTAAAATTCATGTTAAATTGCTGTTTTAGGGGTTGTTTTTAAAAGTCTGGAATGAATTCATTTTGCATTACTTTTTATGGGAAAGCACGCCTTGGTTTTGGAATGCTTTGGTTTTGGAACGGACTTCCAAAAAAGATTAAGTTTGAGAACCAAGGTACTACTGTAGTAGTTCAAACCACCCCCACACACATAAATGCATTATTTTAGGGGAAATGGCTTTGCAAATTTGTTTATATTAGCTGAGTCCACCACCTTCTGAGAGAGTTGGCCCCACTTTTGAACAACTCTTACTGGTGTTTAGTCAGAATCTCCTTTTATCTTGAATCCATTGGTTTGGGTCCCAGCGTCCAGAGCAGGAGAAAACAAGCATGCTCTATCGTCCATGTGACAGCCCTTTAGATCAGGCATAGGCAAACTCCAGCCCTCCAGATGTTTGGGACAACTGTTCCCATCATCATCCCTAGCTAACAGGACCAGTGGTCAGGGATGATGGGAATTGTAGAAGCAAACATCTGGAGGACCAGAGTTTGTCTATGTAGAAGATGGCTATATCTCCTCTCCTCTTTACAGGCTACATAAGCAGTGACATTTTAAAAAGTGGAATTAGAGTGGCATTGGATTGAAGATGTTAGTGTAGCTTCTCTTGAACCACAGATTCATTTTTGAAAAGAAAGCCAATCTGTGATGCAACACACAAGTTACTAAGCTTCAGAACAATGCCTCTTGAGTTTTTCCTTCACCTGATAAATGACATTGTCTGTCAACAAATTTCAGGTAAAATGCATGGGTTTGGTTATATAAGCAGGCACATTGCTGTATCAAGTGTGATTGACTCCTCTGGTTCCTTGTTCCCTCTAGAAGGTTTGTTGCCTTTGACAAGGGTTGATTGGAAAGTAACAAAACGTACAGTTTGCTAGGCATTGCAATCTCACTGCATTGACTTCTTTACCTGACGCACTTATCAATTCTCAAGGGATGTAAGTAACATGCTGTTTTGATTGCTGTCAATGTGATAAACCTAAATGGCTTCAACTGCTGAAGTCAGGATCACACATATAGTTTTGAAGGTATATGGAGAGAAGATTTGGTAAACCAATTATTGCAGAAGAATGGGTGTGGTTGTATAAATCTGATTCCAGTGACATTAAAAGAGAATTTATATAACTTGCAACTTAGTATCTGATGTTTGTTCATTTGCAGAAAACACAATCTTCAGGATGATAATCACTGGAGATGTCAATTGCAAGCCTGTAACAT